CCGCCTCCAGGGGCCCAGAGGCGGGTTCAGGCTGGGCTGCGGAGTTGCTCCCCGAGCCCGGGTCTCACCGCGCCAGATTCCCAGGGTTCCTCAATCGCTCCCTGAACGCGAAGTGAAACACCCGACAGGAAATTTCTGGACGGAGCCAGCCCAGCAGTTCCCTTTATCCAGCACCTCTGCCGTCCCGTTTCCCTCTGGAGGACTTTCAGAGACGCCTCCCGCCCCGCGCCCGGCGGTCCTGTGACTGTTTGGGTAACAGCCGGGGGATTGCCCAAGGGTCCCAACCGAAAATTCCCCCGTCCCTCAGCTGCGGAAGCTGGGGCCTGGCTGACCTTGCGGTGGTCCCAGGAGGGGCTCCCAGGACGCGCCAGGCAGCTGGCTGCTCCACCCTCCCGCGTCCGCAGGGCGGATACTCGGGTTCCAGATGCCCAATTCTGGAAAAAATGGTATTTCATCAGATGTGTGGAGGCCCTTAGAGCCATTCCACACGGAGAGAAATGCCGGGACTGAGAACTGGAGCTACAGACATGAGAAGGGGCCCCTCCCCGGCAGCCCCCCGTAACTGCTCAGTCGCTCGAAGCCTGAAATGCAGTTTTATTTGACAACATACTCGCCCTGGTGTTTGTCTTTTAAGCCGCAGGGGACAAAGACGGAAGCAAGAATTCAGGGGACAGCGTTGTGACCAGCTGGCCAGGGTCTGAGATGTCGAGCGACGAGACCCGAGGAGGTTGCGTCCCATCGGGAGCCGCAGCCTTCAGGGCCGCTCTGGGCGGCACACTGCTCCCCGGGGGGCAGTCGGGACTCGGATGACGTCGGTGTCCAAACGGGGAGCTGTCCTTACAGCTCTTAACTTCAAAGACCCGGCGCCCCAGCAAGATCGGTGCCAAGCATCTCGCGTAAACTGACCGCACACGCGAGCTCGCGCCTCGTGTGCAGTTAGCAACACTGCTCAGTGTCTCCGTGAACAGCGGCCGAGCTGGACGTGAACCAGGGTGGCCGACGCCTGCGCCCACTTTCCTAACCGCAGGCTGTGCAGAGGGAGACCCAAGCCCAGCCCATCCCAGGGCACCAAGGGCACCGGGGCGACTGGTGCGGCTTCGTCCAGTTACTACCCTAGTCGGGACTCGACGCCGGTCAGGCACTTGTCCTAAAGCATTTGTCCACACCGGCCACACGCCAGATGCCATGCGAGGCCGCTGGGGCCGCCCGGGAAGCAGACAGGAGCCGCCGTCCAGTGTAACGCGCCTGCTTCCA